GACGAAATAGGGTGAATGCATCTCATTACACTGATTTACTGGTAGTCTCGAAACCCTACTTACTTACGAATAAAAATATTTGAAGCCAATGGCAGTAAGAGGTCAGCGCATGGCATATATTAAACTCAAGAGCCAGTAAATTATAAAGTTATAGCGGATTTTAATGAAGAAGTATCGTCCTTTGTATGTCATTGACGATTATTTGAAAAGGTTAGGAATTCGGATGAGGAAAGACATCAATTTAGAGCAAAACAAACGGCCTGACCACTCTAATAGGCTCCTGATGATGCTGTCCTTCTAGAGATGAAAGAAGACGCAACAATTATTGATGGAATGGTGCATCAGAACAATGCATAAAGGAAGGATGATACTTTCCTGGATAATGCCGATTAGGCTATTACAGGGTTGTGTATTCCTGTGGTAGCGTGTGTGTGGAGAACCCGCTGACCAATCCAGAAAAAGGTATTTAAGCCTCGAAACAGCAGGGTGTGGGTCAAAGCTGGTAATTGGTCGAACACGGGTGGTAACCATTTAGGCTGGCCGAAAGCCAAACGATTTGCATATATTTCACAAGTGAGCGGAAGATTAGAGAGTGTAGAAATAAGCAAAATGGTCAACATTCTGAATAAAAGGAACGAGTACACAATGAAGTGGGAACTGGTTGCGTATGTTGGACGAAGATAGGGAAGGAGGAGTAGAAAGTACCGCCGAACAAGGGAAGGACTGATTGACCTCAACCAACATGAAGACGAACACGAGTATGCTCGTCAACATCGTGGGGTCAAGGTCTACGCTATTTCGGCAAGGAAATGACTGGTCGATCACAACAGCATCCACTGCTCTCTTCTGTAAGCAGAAAATCACCGGACAAACCATGGGCGGCCGGATTAACTGGGCAAACTCAGGCTACAAGAAACGGGCAGAATCGTAGCCACCCACGCCCCTCGGCTGAGAAACTGACAGCATTTTCTAGAAGAAAAGTTTCATGCTCTAAGGCCTGCCACAATGAGACAGAGGGAATTTCAGCACAGGTTCATTGGAATTTGAAGTCGGTGAGTCGAAGATTTCTGGTCAGAACAAATTACAAAAGTAATCCACCCAGCCTTTCAGACAGAATGACAAATGCACAACAGTAATAGCGCGTCGGTAAACATGATTATGATCATGCGACCACTTCAGGGCTGACAAATCATATCGGCCTAGAACATCGTCCATCATGACACACCTCCATCAAGCTTGTGAGAAACTAGTGAAATTTTTCGCCAACAGCACCAGTAATCTCAAGGCGTAAAGTAAAAATAAGTTCAGATCTAAGCTGATTGGCACTGTGGGATTCAACCTCGCTACTAAGTGACAAATAAGGCTTCCGGGTGTGCTGGTATGACACTGGCCGACTCGAAACATGCATCGGGCAAACTTGAGCATATCATAGATATGAAGGCCAGGATTGTGTGGTCTTCTGTTTGGTCACAGTCCGCATTAGCTTTATAGTGTTTGTTCGACCTGGTTTTCGAAGCTTAGTCGGAGCGTCAGGGCGACCTTGTGGAATGCACGCACTTGTGTATCCTCTGCCCAGTTAACGGTCCGATGTTGAAAATCACCAATACTATGACAGAGAACACAGGACTAGGTGAGTTTCACAAGGTCTCACTGACACTCCAACCGAGTTGGGAAAACGAGGTCGTTCATAGAAGTGAGGCTGCGCCTACCACGATACACGACCATCGGCCAGAATTGTCCCTATTTACCTGAAGCCAGACAAGAACAAGTCCTTCCAATTCGACTTGGGCATACACCTTGCACCACTGGGCAGTCATACGTGTTGAGCCAAGTACTATGAACGGACTGAGTATGACCACTTAGGTCGGGCCAATAGAGCCTGTGTCCTCTGATAAGTCTAAGGATC